TTTTTTTTTTTTTTCATAGGGGAGACGGGGTTTCTCCATGTTGATCAGGCTGGTCTTGAACTCCTGACCTCAGGTACTTACCTTTTTAATGGAAGAAACAGTGTAGATGATAAGGTTTCCTGTTTGGCAGCAGCCAAGTTGGTCTCTGCTATACCTAATGTACCACCTGTTGCGCTCCAGCCTGGGTGAAAGAGCAAGACCCTGTCTCAAAACAAATAAGCAAACAAACAAACAAAAAGTCTTTCTGTATTTCTCTTCCATGTATTCTATTACATGATTTTTTCTGAGCATTTTTCTTTGATTTTCTCAACCAATTTGCTTTTTACTCATCTGATCTGAAGCCGCCATCCTATCTAGGCCCTTGGTAGTTCAGTATTCCAATTTTCTGTGCCTGCAGTTTTGACCAACTCCTTCCTGTATGATTAGATTTTGATGGGGTACACAGCTCTCCGGCCCTTACCCTAGCCCAGCATTGTTTCTCATGTCATCACAGTGGCTTTGTGGGGCTGCTGCCCCCTTGTCCAAAGTAGCTCTCTCAGCCTCCTGCCATAGCACACAGGCTATTTCTTTAGGGGATGTTTTTCCTAATCAAAGCTACTCATTTTTAAAGCTGCCAGTACATCCCTAATCCATCATTTACAAACTTATGTAAATTATTTAATGAGTTGCAGCTCCTCTTCTTACTTGTAAATGTTTTGATCAGACATTAATACAGCTATATATCTGTACACTTTAGGCTGCCCGCCTAAACAAGGTACCAATATACTGTAGAGAATATCGGTAATGTGGTATGTAGCTGAATCAAATATTAACCATTCAAAACCCTCACTTCCCCCTGCAAAAAGGAAAGAAAGTAGCTTTGATCTGCTTTTTAGCACACAGCTATGGTGAAGTCATCAGTTATTAATATTTTTAAAAGCTTTGCCCAAGGACACACCACCACTAAGACGTATTATTAGTAACATATTGAATAATTTAAAACATGTCAATAAAACTTGCCCATAAGTGAATAAAACCCACTTTAAGGAGATTCTCCTTGAATTCTTTTTGAATTTTTAAGTTAAAAAGCAAAAGAAAATCACAACCCGGTGACCTAAGAGTCACACAATTAGACTGAAACATGATTTTAGCCGTTTGTAAATTCCCTTCTTAATTTTCTTGTGTCATTCAGCTCAATGGAGACTCTCAGGCAAAAGTACAGCGAATTCTACGATTGATTTCTGGTGGTGGATTGTCCATAACTGGATCACATATCTTGTGTGGAGACTTCCTCTTCAGTGGTCACACAGTTACGCTGACACTGACTTATTTGTTCATCAAAGAATGTAAGTAATAGCCCATTCCCACTGAACTGATAGCTGTAGTGGGAGGGAGCCCCGGACCTGAAATTGATAGGAGCCCTTATTCTCTTGGGATTGATAAGCTGTGAAAGAGACAGAGGTGTGTGTGTATGTATGTGTATTTATATTTATATCATTTCAACTAGTTATATGTGATCTGAACCTGAAGGCTTAAAACCTGGCCCTGGCTTCTCTCTAGTATTTAACATGCCTTTAAAACATCTCCCTTCTTGGTTAGTACTTCTTAAGGTATGAAAAGCTATCTTACTATTGGAACTAATTGTTAATTTTATTGCAAAAAAGATTGGTACTTTCTAAAGACAGTTGTAATGACCTTTGAATTATTTGTATGACACTTCCATTCTAGCATTTGAAATAATTCAGTTATGTTCCCCTTTTTAAAACATTTCCATGCCCCACTTTATTCTAATTTCATCATCTTCCAGCACTTTCTATGCTTTCATAGGAGTCTTCATGGACCATTTTGCTAATACCAATCATTTTCTTCTCAAGAAGAAATGTGGAGGCAAGAAATAAAAATCTCTTTCTATATTTATATGCTTAGTTCACATTATACAAAATCCTTGGGTTTTCTAGTAGGTTTTATGGCAGAAATAATGCCTCGTTCTTTGTAGAGTTGTACCGTTTTAGCTGCCCAGTAGATCCCATTTTTATATATTTCCGAGGTTTTCTATATTTAGGCCTATTACCTCAAAATCCTTTTGAAGTAATAACACTTCTTCGTTTGTGTTTGCAAAGCTGGTCAGTGTTACCCTTCATCTTTAGTTCCAAGTTACCTCATGCCAGTGTTTTTTAGAGGTTTATCTGAATCCTCTTCATTGGCATATTTAAAAGGAGGTCTTTCAGCAGAGAGCAGCAGAAGGCAGCTTCCCCTCCGCTGTCCTCCTTGCTTTTTCCTCCTCTCTCAGCCCTTTGTTAATCCAAAGAGGAATATCCTAATTGAATGGTGGTGTGGAAGTCGAGAGTTATCTTCAGTGGTGCAGAAGTGAATTATTGCCCCTTTGATTACCTGGGGTATTCGGTTTAAGTTCTGCTTTGAGGGCAAAAGTTCTCTGTGGTAGATGAGATCAAGTCTTTTTTGTGAGAATTGTAGCATCTTTCTGTTCCTTACTTTGTAGATTCTACATACAGATCTGCAATAGGGAAAGTTGTGGGATACGTGTGGGGTCTTCATCATACTTGACTTAAAAGCTGAAGGCTCTGCACCTTTTCCCTTATTTCTATCCTCACACTCTTAGGGTGGTGGGGTGGGACCTGGATCTGTCTCTGCACATCATCAGAGGATGGTCTCTTCGTTAAATTTAGTCACTCTATTTCTAATGTTGAGTTATTGGTTCTGGGGGATTGAGCAGAATGATATATGTTGCTATGGTTCTAACTCTAACTTTTGCCAAGGAAATTCATCAGTATGCTGTGTTAGATCAGTCATTTTCTAGTCCAGATGTACATTTGAGTTTAGGATCTTCTCTCCAATCTGAGGATCACAAAAAACTTACAGAAGAAGATGGGGATGAGGGTGGAGGTGGGGGAAGAGGTGCATTTCAGAGTGAAGGCACTGTAGGTTTAAGGTAATAAAAACCACTCCCAGGAAACTGCGATTCAGTTTTCTAAAATAACCGAAAACCAACTGATATTAACTGTATTAGTCTGTTTTCATGCTGCTGATAAAGACATAACCAACACTGGGTAATTTATAAAGAAAAAGTGGTTTAATGGACTCACAGATCCATGTGGCTGAGGAGGCCTTACAATCATGGTGGAAGGCAAAAGGCACATCTTACACGGTGGCAGACAAGAGAGAATGAGAACCAAGCAAAAGGGGTTTTCCCTTATAAAACCGTCAGATCTTGTGAGACTTACTTATTGCCACAAGACCAGTATGGGGGAAACCAACCCCATGATTCGATTATCTCCCACCAGGTCCCTCCCACAACACATGGGAATTATGGGAGCAACAATTTAAGATGAGATTTGGGTGGGGACACAGCCAAACCATATCATCAACAATAATAACAAATAGACAATACTTACTCTTTCCCAGGCACTATTCTAGGGTCTTGATGTAAATTAACTCATTTGATCCTTTCATTCACCCTCTGAGGGATGCACTATTTTTTCCCATTTTCCAGGTGAGTAAACTTAAGCATAAAGGAAGTGACTTGGCCACAGTGCACAGCCATCATTTGGAGAGGCAGGTATTCAGGTTGAGGCAAGCTGAATCCAGAGGTTTTGCTCTTAATTTCTTGGCTCTGTTCAGAATTTTGGATATTCAAGCTGGTTGACTCTATTGTATTGCCAAAGAATAGTCTACTTATCTATAAGCAGGGGCATTGCTCTTTATTGTACATTCTTTCGCCTCAGAGCAACAGAAAGGCAACTTGTGATTGATTTTGTACTTTAATGAAGGCCACACAGTATGTAGAGACGTTTTTTTCCTAAGACATAATTTTGACTAGAGGTTTCTAAAATTGTGTAAATTTACACGTTGCATGCAAGGAATAACATTCTGCTTTCTCCAATATTTGATGAGACATAGAAGGGCAAATCTGTAATACTTAAACTCTGTTTTATAGTCAGTTCTGTATGTAAGCAGAACATTTCATGTTTCTGTCTATTTTTTCTATGCAATTAAGAAAAACATTTATCTTCTAAATTATACTGTATGTTCTTGTTCTGCGTAAGTAGTGGTTCCAGTGGTTTCTTTGAAAAGTCTGCTTCTAGAATTAGATGCATCATTTATATATTTTTTTACTTTCCTGCCTTTTGATCAGTTTGGACTCTTTCCTTGTTTGCTCTGTTGTCATGAGTAGATTTAAATTTAGTTGTGGGAGCACATGAAAATGTGGCACCAAGACCATTTGGGGATTAGCAAGGGAGTGCTTTGTACAGTCATGCAAATATTATAATTAGCGCGTAGGTTCCTGATAAAATTAGCCAGGAGAAATCAGACTAGCTGTTAGTGCCAAACAACTGGCTAGTAGAGAACAAATTTTTGGGTTTTTACCTGGCCACCCTACCAAGTCCATTGTCTCTATTATTTCATGACCCCTAGGGCTAGCATCCGACACATACGGTGAAGTTAACTATTATTTGTGTTGTAGTCTAGCTCGTTGTTAACCCTATGGGATGAATGAGAAAATAAGAGTATTACCATTTTTCCTTTTCTATTTCAAAACAGCTTCTATTCAGTCTTTTCTTTGGGCCAGCCAATGTTCTGTTAATGAGTGGTGAGCCCAATGTGGTAGAGCATAATCGGAAATACATTTTTATGAGAAAGCACTGCTGGGGTTTCCAGCCATTCCTAAAATCCACTTGCAATCCCATGAGTAGGAAAATGAAGATTCAGGCCACCTCTATACCTACTTCAGCTTGGCTTCTTGTGAATAAACAAATGCAAAATGGCTCTAGTTTGCCCAAACATTTTGAACTTCTAAGGTAAATACCAGATGACCTGTAAGTAGGGAAGCAGGGTTGCTAAGAGACCTTAGGGAAGGGTAGGGTCTGAGGTGCTGGAGAATGCGTATTTTGTTAGCCCTCCAGATTTCTCAATGTCGGTTCAATTTTTAACGTCCCAAGCCTAACATAACAGTTATGGAGACTGGATCTGGCCCCCAAGACTGCAAGAGTAAGTCCTCTCCCATTACAATTCTGAGATTCCATGAGTTGTCTGCCAGAACTTAGTGGCAGAATGAAGTAACTGACAAGTAATGAGGAGTATATCCAAAATTAGAAAGTCAGACTTTAAAAGGCAGTACAGTTTTATTTTCTTACTGTTCCATTTGGGACAAACAGAGCAATAGCTAATTTTAGCAAAAAATTATATTTGAATGATACCTGATTTGGTATTTCATTTAAAGTTCTGGAAATGGGCTGGGTGCAGTGGCCTGTGCCTGTAATCCCAGCACTTTGGGAGTCCAAGGCAGGCAGGTCACCTGAGGTCAGGAGTTCAAGACCAGACTGGCCAACATGGTGAAACCCCATCTCTACTAATAATACAAAATTAGCTTGGCATAATGGTGCACACCTGTAATCCCAGCTATTCGGGAGGCTAAAGCAGGAGAATCATTTGAACCCAGGAGGCAGAAGTTGCAGTGAGCTGAGACCACACCATTGTACTCCAGCATGGGTGACAGGAGTGAAACTCTGTCTCTAAATAAATAAATAAATAAATAAATAAAGTTAGTCCTGGAAATGGATCCTTTTGCTATTCAATTACCCTTCTTCATGTGAAAGTAAATATCACTATGAATGTAAACATAGTTAAATATGAAATCAATTTCAGCTTATTGGACTTTTATTGTGAGCTAATACAGCTTTAAAATAAAACAGATTACCAAGTTATTAAGAGATGAACTCTGGTTTCAATTATATTTGTCATTTAACACATCTGTGAGAAGGGGAGGACCATCATGTTTAAACCAGTGAGTGCCATGGTTGTCTCTTACAGCTGGTAAGGAGAATGAACTTTTAAGTGACCTTACTAGGAAGGCTGAGTCCATAAGTGAATGGTCAGGAATCTTAACCTTTACAGAGGGAATGTTTTATAGTTGCTATTGGCAGTAACAGTGTAAAATTGCTGAGAATCAAAATATTGCTAGCCACAATGCCATTCCTTCTGACATGAACATGCTTACCCTACACATACCCCTGGAGAAATAATATAAATTTAAAACCTGAAATTACTCCTGCTTTCCTATTTCCACCCCTCTGTTTTCATAGACAACCACCTCTTCTTTTGACCTCTACTATCTTTCTTTCCGGTGGGAAAGTGGCTGCTTTATGTGAGTCAATATACAGCAATTTCAGCCAACCTAATAAGAAACAATTCTGTTCCCTTTCTTATTAAACAGCTTATTCACATGGGCAAGGCCTAGAATGTCTAGTGTTACCAGCTTCCCCAGCGAATGACTATTACACTTGCTGCCAGGGAGCCCCTCTGCCTCCCTCTGACCTGAGCAGATCCTGGGCAATTCATAGTGACTCAGTTTAGGTTATCAGTTTTCTCCTTCTGGTGACTTCCTGATCCTGGGTTATTCTACTTAAGGTCGTTAGGACAGACTGCAATCATTAAATTTATCTCTGGGAATCTTATTAACTCTTAATTTTTCTACTGTCCAGATTCGCCTCGTCACTTCTGGTGGTATCATTTAATCTGCTGGCTGCTGAGTGCCGCCGGGATCATCTGCATTCTTGTAGCACATGAACACTACACTATCGATGTGATCATTGCTTATTATATCACAACACGGCTGTTTTGGTGGTACCATTCAATGGCCAATGAAAAGGTGAGAGCAGTGAAGATGCTTGGATAATTTCTTTTCTTTTAATGCAGTGGATCCATTTTATGTTGTGGAGTTTTAGATAGCTTAATGGGGATAACTGATGTTGCCACTCAAATGTGTGGCTTCGGTCCATTCACTTAAACATATATCCATTACTGTTTTTTAAAATAAAGCAAAGAACTTCACAAATGTAAATGCCATTTATGGATTAAAATGCCATAAGGTTATAGAGCACAGTGTGTTACTAATTGAGGTCATTTATACTAGAATTGAAGAACTAAATTAAAATTTAGGAAACTTCTCTGTAAAAGCATTGTAGTGCAGCTGAATAAGACATAATTCCTGCCTTCAACTTAAATTCATTTTAAGGAGAAGGAGAAGGTAACAGGTTTTTTTTTTGTTTGTTTGTTTGTTTTTTGAGACAGAGTCTTGCTCTATCACCCAGGCTAGAGTACAGTGGCACAATCTTGGCTCACTGCAACCTCCATCTCCCAGGTTCAAGCGATTCTTGTGCTTCAGTCTCCCAAATAGCTGGGATTACAGGTGCACGGCACCATGTCTGGCTAATTTTTATTTTGTATTTTTAGTAGAGACAGGGTTTCACCATGTTGGCCAGGCTGGTCTTGAACTCCTGACCTCAAGTGATCCTCCAGCCTTGGCCTCCCAAAGTGCTAGGATTACAGGCAGGAGCCACTGCACCCAGCCGGTAACAGCTGTTTTTTTAAAATGACACAAAATAAATAGCTTATGAATTACTGGATTTGGTATATCCTCTGGTGATAGTGGTGCTCTCTGGCTTCCCTTCCAATTCTTCCTTATTTGCTTCTGCTGCTTCCTTGTTTCCAGATACGCTCTTCTTTCTTCTCCCATTCATACTTAAAGAGCTAGTTTAAATGCCACCTCTTCTGGGAAGCCTTCTCTAACTCTTGCTGTCTTCCTTGGTCCCAAGGCAGAATTATTCCTCCCCATCTCTGTTTTCTCCTACTCTTAGTCTATGTACCATGACTTACTTATCTTTGAATAGACTTGCCATATTGTTAATTTGGAGAATTTGTGAGCAACTGAAATATGGCTTTTCCAAATCTACATCCAACTCTTGGTGTCCACTAATAAATGCTCTTTCTCTGGATTACTTTATTTCTCTTTGCAGCTCTATTTCCTTTTTATAGTCTCCTATTTCCATCTTCCTCCTTACACTTCCATCTAGATGACGACTGACACCACTGAACCAAAATTTTTATCTTTCCTCTTAAATGTATTCAACCTTCTGAGCTTTTCTTTCACTCCTTGACTTGCTTGGCCCCTAGATTTGATCACTCACACATCCTGAAAATTACTCTGCCAGAATAATTTTGACATCCATTCCCTGAGTCTCCATTCTTACTGGAATTGCAGGCAGCAAAAATTGCATGAGCCACAAAGGAAGGAAAGACATCTAGGTGTGTTAGGGGACCAGAGTCACGGTAGAGTTAGGGAAAGGACATGAAAATCATTACTGCCATGTGATCTGAATTCTGGTTTTCCCTAGGATACAGTGAATGACAACTTAAGAAAATAATTACGCTGCAAATCAAGAAAGATATGACTCATTTTACTTTTTTGTCTACCATTTGCAGAACTTGAAGGTCTCTTCACAGACTAATTTCTTATCTCGAGCATGGTGGTTCCCCATCTTTTATTTTTTTGAGAAAAATGTCCAAGGCTCAATTCCTTGCTGCTTCTCCTGGCCGCTGTCTTGGCCTCCTGGCTGCTTCAAATCATCATGCAAAAAGTATTCACGGGTTCAGAAGATTGGTGAAGACAATGAGAAATCTACCTGAGGAGCAAAACAAAGGCATCAGCTCTTACACCAAAAGAGTTAACGCTGTAACCAAAGGTATAGTTTTGTTTTTTATTTTAGGAGAACTGACTGGTAAATGAAGAAACGGACCAAATTTTGTGTAAATGATTAGAAAAATGAACAAAGTATTACCCTCTGACTGGCTTTCTTCTTCATCCTGAGAAAGATACATTCTCTTGCAGCTCTTCATTCATTGGTGACAAGCCCCCACCCTGGGACTTTACTAATGAGCTTGTTAAAGAGGTGCCAAAGAACATATTCCTCTTTTCTTTCTTCTTTGTCCACTGAGACCCTCTGCTTCAGAATTTTTTCAGGATATTTTTCCTCTCAAGATCAGAAGAATGTGTTAATATTTTAAATAAAATATCTGGACATCTACAGCCACTGTGTAAATAGAACAACCTAATGTCGAGAGTGGTTTTTAGCATTAGGTTTAGCAAGGGGGAGATCGGTGGGTTGTGCGTCAGCTTTGGGTGAATTTTGTTTCTACCCTGTCATGGGGAAAGTTAGGATTGAGTCGGGAGTGTACACTGCTGCTGCCACCCAGTGTGCAGCACTTTAAATTTTTTGTTTTCTTTTGTTTTTAACAGATCATTTTATCTTAAAAAGGAAAGATGATCCAAGTAAACATGAAAGTATTTGACACACCCCACAGATTTTACGTGTGTGTAAATGTTTCACTTTAAAATCTCTGTGACAGATACACAGGAAACATGAGGTTGTTTCTGCTAATGACTGGCCGTTGAGTATACACATAGATGCCGTCCGCCTCGTAAATTTGTATCTGGTACCCCAGGGCAGTCAGCTCGTCTAGCACAGCTGAAAATGTGTGTGTCAACTCAGGCTTATGCCACGTGGGACATCAGCCTGTTTCCCTTCCAGGTCAGTCCCTGGTGTGAGATCAATTTTAGGGCTCCTAATTGAAGTGCAGAAATATATTTGGTCATGATTTCGTCCTTCTTATGGTTGTGGTTTATGGAAAAACAAGATGGAGCCTGAAAGTTAATGTGTCCTTGCTTTTAGCAAGAGACTCAGCTTCTCATAAACTAGTGCTAGGGACATATGCCACAATTGAGTAATTTTACTTTTACCCTGTGAAAATGATAACATGGTGCTGCACTATAATATACCCTCAGAATCAGTGTGTGAGTGATGGCTACACAGTAAAGGGGGATAACTGTTTCTAAATTTCTTTAAGGTGATGCCAAAAAATAGATTTTAAAACATTGATCGGATTTATGTTATCAGATTTAGTGCATTATTTAATGCTATTGGATCTTTTGAACAATTCCTGGCTTCATTTCTTAACTACTGGAAGCTCAATTTGCAAGACTTCTAGAAACCTTAGAAAGTTTTAAGGTTACAAAATTGTTAACACTAGGGCAGAGGGTAGAGAGGCCAGTGTGGGCAGAAGGAGGCAGTATGTTTATATTGAAGGTGAAATTTTTCTTTCATTTAAAATGGAAAACATCCCCAAATTTATCATTATAAACTAGTCAGCCTTTATTACACAAAATTGACCTTTAAATTACTTGAGAAAAGCACAATACCAATCGTTCAGAAGGGTCAACATCCTTCGGTGCTAAAATCCTGTGTATGTTTTCAGAATGGCTTTTTCTGTGTGTCATAGAGTAGTCACTAAAGAAAACATAGTTGAATTTAAAGTCATGAAGCAAGACTCTTTAATTCTGTTACTTTAAACAAGAATTAAAACCCCAAACATCGTTGGCAGGTTTTGAAGCACAAGGAATTTTCTGGTATTTCTTATTAAATACACCAATAATTAACACATATGTAGTTTACCTGATGAGTTTAGACATAATTCTATATAATGTTCACTTATGTTCATTTATTAAATAGCAACACTTGTGCGAGAACAAGGTGTTCTGCTTGAAAACACTGTTTTTTAAGTTCCTGTTACTCGATAATGAGGAAAATCATCTGACACAGAAGCCTGGGTTTTGCTCTCTGAACACTGGTATTTTCATTGAGCCTCTAATTCAAATAAAACAACCTGATACATCTTAGAGCCTTATTCAGCTGTGTCTGGATAACCCACTTTTCTTCTATTGGATAAGGAAAAGTGTTTAAACCTAATTTTAAAAAACCATTGTGTACCAATTACTACACACCCTTGAAACAGTAAGCCTTGTATTTTAGTCAAGTAATCCAGTTTTTTAATTTAAAAAATCACCTTTTTTTTTTTTTTTTTTTTTTTTTTTTTTTTTTT